GTCTGAACTGCAGGAGATTGTCTTGACCATGTCTACATGCCTAAATGCACTGAGTTGCCGCCATGTGATTGGCTGCTTAGAAATTAAGTGTGAACGAGCAGTTGGACAGGTGTACCTACTAAAGTGGCCGGTGAGTGTACATGTCGAGTTGTGCTTACAGTGTGCATGCGCACACTTTGCAGTAGGCCACAGAGTTTCTAACTGATAAACTGATAATGACATGGAGAAATTGCCCACAGCTGCCCATGACATAGGTAATTAGTCTAATTAGCTTTTGGATCCTTTTTTTAAAAATAGGGCAACACATGTTAAAGAGATGAAACTAATCAATACTTTACTCAGTTTAAATGTGGGCAAGTTACCGTGTTTGATCACTTGCATGACCCCCCCCCAGCCCTCGGTGAGGTCTAGAAGCACAAGATCTATATCCAGCCATTCAGCAAAGATTCTGCTACATGGCTGTACATCTTATTTTGGCATTTGACCAATTAAATGAGCTCTTGAATGATATATTACCTACTGTAAATGAAGTTAACAAGTCAAGAAAAAGGTAAAAAGCTAATTGAAAAGTTAAAAAGTCAAGTTAACAGGTTAATACACCTCTAAGGTTATGTTGTAACTAAAAAAATATGTTTCTTTCACTCTGTGTTTTTCATGAATTTGTTATAGAAGCACTTTTGTTACTTTTCTTAATACTTTTCTTAATTCAGGCAAGTTAGTGTTTTTGCCATCAAAATATCCATGTTTTTTGAATGTTACAAATGTAATAAAGGTATTTTCCTGGATTCCAATAACAGACTACAAAAAGATCTAAAAATTAGTGAAAATGTCTTAAGATAAGTGTATTTACCCATAAATTTGAATAGATAAACAAGGAGCACTTTTATCCTTAAAATGAGATTATTTGATATTATACACTTAAAATAGGAGACTGCACTCTTTTCCTTATTTTAAATGTAAATTTTCTTGTTCCATTGACAAAGTGTGTCGCTTACCTGCTTAATTCAAGAAAAAATGCACTTATTTTAAGAAAAATGGACTTACTTAAATTTCAGTTATTTGCAGTGCACTCTTTGCTTGAAATTTTGATATTTAAAGTCTTTCACTGGGTGCCCTATAAAGGGTTAAAGTTAAGCCGAAAGTCTGTACATTAATTATTGCCTGTTACATACCGGTAACTATAATAAGAATATGTTTCAGTAAGCAGGTGAAAAAAACTAATCTTGTGTTACTGTCGAACTATGCATGGACCTATCTGATCATGCGTACCTCAAACACTTGCAGTTGTAATGGTAACACAAGGGGCTTCTACGAAGTGTTGATTTAGGGGACATAAATGTAATCAATTACACACCAGATTCTAACTTGTACGACATATACAGTATATTTTATCCAACTTATCAAGTTTGTACCACTTGCAGCTTTTTTGCAGACCTATTAAAAAAAACTCTTCCAAAAAAAGGACCTAAATATGTTGTAATAATATAGCTAAATATAAAAACAATGTTGTAAGTTTGCAATGCCCTCAAGTATTTAATTTTGTTACAGGAACCATATGCAGATAAAAGTTCAAGAAGGTCAATTTCTGACGACTTCCAAATACCTCACAATGTAACTCCTGTTCCTAGCTCCTATTCATTTAACTTTTGCAGGGTAAAAAATAAGGACTCTTTTCAGCGTAGTAAAGTAATTATGGACTTGTGAGCTGAATCCAGACAGTAGTCAGCTGTATGGACACCAGTATGTTATGTACACACACTTATATGAGTAAAATTAGGTCTACAACCTTCTAGAGAAAAGCTTACAAAAAGCAAAACGTACAAAAATATAAAGAACGGCTGAAGCTCCCCTTTATAAAATCTGAAACATATCAAGACGCATATTTTTGCATGTGTTACACATACACATAGTATATGTAAATAAACCATCTATAGCAGGTCTCCTGCATCTTTTTCCTTCCCATTTCTTATTACCGGCACGTTTCAGGCAGCACTCATCATGGCACACGTTGATGTTGCCTAAGTTTCTCAGCTGATTTGCACAATTTGGAAGCACTCCTTGTTTAGGACAATAGATTGACTTCAGTTAGAAATCAGGAAAAAACTGCATTAAATCTCTCAGAAACAGTCAACAATAAACAGATTTAATTCAGAATGAAAGCTGAATTTAGTCTATAATGCCATTACGACATATAGTGCTTTCCCATTGCACCATTAAGTAAAAAAAAATCTTTACTCATAAAGTCTGTAAAAAAAAAATCAAATAAACTTTGCCATTGTTTGAAAATTCTCTTATAGAATTATTCTGATGACTTAATCAGAAAGTTAGAGGGAGTTAATAGGCATGTTTAAATGACAAATATATATTTAAGAAAAATAGATAAATGTGTTAAATTAATTTAAAAGCTGTTTGTCTAAGAAAGTCAGTACAAACTCAGATTTATGTTTTTATAAAAGTCATGTTTCTTGTCTATTTAGCTTAAAATAACCATGGGTTAGGACACCAATCAGTCAGTCTTCATTGACAAGCCGCTAGTTATATCATATGTTGGTCTTTCAGCTTGATTCATTGTCTCTGCTGGAGTGCTTGGGGCAGAGTGGGTGGTGCTGCTTTCTTTTCTCCTCACTTTGTGCCCTCTGTTCTCCCCCCAGCAGCTGCTGCCCATTATTGCAGCGGTGGACAAGTACAGCGTCCTTGTTTTGTGACGTTTTCTGTGACAACAGTCGCTGCAGCATCTGTTTGTCAGACCGCTCCCTCCTGAAGTCATCCTCGTAAATCTTGAGCTGAAGGAATTTCACAAAAGTAAATAAAGGATTTAGTCTAAAACTATTCAGAAAATCTCTAGTAGAATATGGTAAAGTATCTATGTTTAAAAAAAATACTCCTTATTTCTGATAACCAAACATTTTTTAGACAATTTTTCTTTGTGTCAGTAAAAGAAAAAGTCGCATAGCTTATCCCAGTTGATATTATTTCATTTAAGGCAATGAAAAATTACCTGTTCCTGCAGTAGTGCCACCTGTTGGCGCATCTCCTCCCTCTTCTTCCTTAACTTCCGGTTTTCCTGCAGAGTGTGCTTGTGGTCATTGTGCTCTGTCTGATAATCTGCCTCGTAAATTTCAGTCTACAGACACAAAATAGGAAAACGTGAGTGAGCCAGATTGAGACATGGATTACACCCTGAAGCACCACCAGGCGGTGCAGTTCACCATCTTTTTAAAGCCTCTATCTGAACATTATGCAAACCTTTGCCCAGCAACAGTGATTTAACATCAGCTATGATCTTCCTTTTTCAAGTTGTTCTGAGGAGAATGACTTACCTGACATCTTAGAGCTTCCAGTTGCTCCTTTAAATCTTTAACCTCCTGCTTTGAGCTTCCCCGTGTTCCCAGTGTGGTACTGGCAGGATTTTTATCCTTGTATACTGCCTCTGAAATGGGAGACGCTAGGAAAGAGGAGGACGAGGGGCTGTATCTGGAAATATGACCGCTGGTGGGAAATGATCCAGCACTAAAAGTTGCCTTTAGTGGAAAAAAAAAAAGACAAACAGATTAGAAAAAATATATTTAGTCAAATTAGACCCACAGACCTCAATGTAATTGAATAGGATTTTATTTCTCTACATGCATTTACAGGGTTATTCACTAACTTTTCAAGCCTTGCAACAGCATTTGAATTAAAGTCGGAACTTTTAACAAGGCTCTAACACATTTGTGTGATTAGATCTAAATGCATAATGGATTTTAGATCAAATCATGATAATACTGTAGCTACTATCCACTGTCCCACTAACTCAGACTTCCTTTCTTGTCCCTGATAAAAAAAAAGACACTTACAGCATAATGCTGCCACTTTCCTTGTCAAATCAGTGGGTTCATGATGATGTACAGATATAGAGTTAAATTAACGTTAAAAGATTTTCTTACTGCCTGTCATCTGACTAGGTGTGTCCATACAACTTAAATACTTTAATCAAATAGGGGACAACTCAAGTGAATTTGTTGTTGTGATTTTTGCAAGTTATCAATATAGAGGGGACTTACTGGGAAACCATTAATATTGTATGTTTTATAATTAGGCACCACTTTAAGCTGGTCCATTATCCACCCCAAACAGAATGCTGATTAAATTTATTTTTGCAACATGACTTGATTTGAAACTGCTCAAAAGGCATGAATACTTTTGCAAGGCAGCAGAAAATAAACAAATAAAAACAGATAAGATAAAAACCTGGTTAACGGAGGAGATATCTTTTTCTGGGTGGTGAATCCTGTTTTCCAGCAACCTGACATACTCTTGCAACTCCTGGTTTTTCTTCAGCTCTGTCATCAGAGCCTGTTCATAATACTCCTTCGCACTCTGCAATGCAAAAGATAGCTACAGACATCACACCGGTAAACCACATTTACTGAATTCATTAGAAGATTCCCAGGTGTGCTCCCTTCTTCAGCCGCTCTCACTGGCCAGTGAGGTGAGCTGTGGTGATGTGGGTGCTTAAATATTGGCTTTGTTTACCTGTTGTTGTTCAACTTTGAGAAGCAGTTGGCTATTAAGCTGTTTAATTGCATTGTTTTCCAGCTCCAGAGCCTCTAGTCTGCTCTGCAGACCCAGTGTGGCGCTCCGGTATACCTGGTCCCAGTCCTCGTTAAGCTTCATCAGCTGTGGGATATTACCATCGACATCATCAGCAAAATTACAGCAAAGACTTTCATTGCAGTGATCAATAGCATCATTCATTTCAAAATCTCTGCTGTCATTTTCAGTCTGTCTCTACATGGAGAGCAGGAATGAATATGAGTGACATTTCTAATTTCAAAGGAGAACATCATTAAAATCCAGAGGCAAAGGTTGCATAATTTACCACATTCACTACAACACTTTTCACATAACGCCCACGTCCCTCCCCCAGCCTCCGGTGAGAACTAAATGTAATCGCCAACAGCCGTAATAATATGTTGACCTGCAGAGCTTCTGCACAGGTTTTAGGGAGATGTTTTACCTCTTTGTTCACTCTGCGGAGCTCGGTGTTCTTGTTAAGCAGCAACAGTTTCTCCTGGTCAGTGGAGGTGACTGTGAAACTCTCTGTGATCAGAGTGACCTGCTCATCTGTGGACAGCAGTCTGTCACCCAATGGACTTTCATTTTCTGACCTGCAAAAAGAACAAGAATATCATAATATGTTTTGAAAAAAAAAGAAGAAAAAAAACCAGGATGAACATTAAGAGAGGATTTCTATTATTAAGCAAAGGCACGGATGCAGAAAAGAATGTCAGGTACTTTTGAACACCCACTCACATAGAGTGCACTTCCAGAGAATCAAATAGCATCTATTATGCACACCCACGCAACACACACACATACACACAGTCAAATTATGCACTCAAGACACTCAGACACACACATTTGTGCATATTGTGATGTATTTCTACATATGTGAAAATTAAAGTGAGTGTTTACAGTCAGACACAAAGTATTTGCATATTTATAATTTGTGAAATGATTGCCAGTGATGATCCCTGGATAAAAAAATGATTTCTGGTGAAGTACTTAGACAGAAAAGAAACATTTTATTTATTTAATAATCTAACCTGATACCAGACATGTCATCTCTGTGGTGGGGTCTGTTTGACAACAATGCTAACAGCGTGAGTAGTGGAGATACACACCCTGAGAAAATCTGTTGATGGAGGAGCTCATAACACTGAATGAAACCACATCACTGCTCTTTTACACAAGCATACAGCTGGTCTGCTGTAATCTTACAGGGTGCATTCCTTTAAAGTGTCCAAATCTGCAGTTCCCTCACATCCTCTTAAGAGGAAAACATCTCCCACAAATACATGCTTTCACCCACTTATGAAGCTTGTGTGAAGCTACAGTTTGTAGAAGAACGAAGTTAAGATATTTCCCAGAGGTTTCTTGTTAGGAAAAGTAAATGGAAGTAACAAAATACAAAATAAATCCGGTTAGTGGGAAAAAAAACCCCAGAATAAAGTCATCTTTACAGTTTGCAAAGCCTCTTACTCACTGAACAATCTCGTTATTAATGTCACGTTAGCTGTCATAACATGACATTTGTCATTTTCATGATTTGAGACTGGCAGAGATTGACTTTTTGCAAACGTTCATGAAATGATTTTTTTTAAGCTGCTGTAGTCATTTAAATAAAGTGTCCTACAAATAATAATTTCTTTGTTACGTTTTTCACAGATTTAGAAAAGCACAAAGATTTCCTGCTTTGTGTTTGTTTTCAGGCTTAGCTTTAAATGGCAAGAACAGAAACAAGAACTACAGCTGCCATTTCCTTATTATTGTGTTTCTAGTTCATGTCAGCCCAGTGGGCTGATATGTTCTCTAAAGTGAAGCATGAATACAGTCATTCATATGCTTGTCACATTTAAAGTTCTTAAGTTGAATATATCTGCTACTAAAAAAATGCTGTGTTTGGTCTATTTCCTAAAACACTTAACACATTATATTAAAGATCTACTTTAAAAAAACTACAAACAAATCACTTCCCTTTTTATTTAGACATAAAAGTTTCTACTACGTATGATGCTTTTTTCATCAGTACCATGTGGTTTGAGTGAAAAAAAAAAAAAAAACGTTATCAGTGGAAGTTCTATTGTTCCATTTTCTGAAAGGAAAACCCAGAGAAAATATCCCTTTTGAGTAATAAATGTCTATCCACTTTCACTCTGCTGCATTCAACAAAGCAGAAAGGGGCTTTAGAAAAATATTTCTGCAGGCAATAACATCCAAATCATCCACTTAAAACCACCAGTTTAAAAGTTCATATAGTTTAGGATAAAGTAAAACTTTACATGCCAAAAAGGGAAGAAAAATATAACAACGATGACCTAAAATTCTAACTTTCTAGGTCAAATACTCTGCCCTGCCAGCTCAGTTGAATCAACTGTACTTTTAGAAGTACACCCTGCATGTCTTTGTAACCAGAGTGTGAGGGTTACTTCTAATGTTTTTGAAATTCTGACGTCAAAATGTCACACATTTAAATTCAGTGTGTTTGCACGTGATGCAGAATGTGATACAGAAGAAGAGGGTCAGACAGTTTCATCTGAAACTCCTAACAGGAAGCTGAGCTTGTGTGTGTTTGACAATTGTGTCATGATACCTAAAAAAATATATAATAATAATTCTATGTAGTTATAAGCTTTGTCTAATCAGTTTTCATAAAATATACAAATATATAAATAAATATATAGCCTTTCATAAATATGCATAAATATAAATATACATATACGTAAATATAGTGCCTTAAATTCAAATAATTTCAAGTTTATTGGCTTTATATTTCTATTCCATTGGCTAATTCTACATAATTACTGAGTGAGTTTAGTGAAACGGTGACCTGCAGCCTACATTTGTGTGACATCATGGGAAACTCCAAAGTCCCCCATCATCCCCACCTCTCACTGAGGTGAAGGTTCACTCTAAACTGCTTGAACATATAAACCTCTGTTTTTTCATCTACTCTGTAAATATTCAAGATCATATAAAACAAAGAAACATTACATACATTTATGATATGTTGCTTTTTAAGTAAGACAATACACAGGAATGACAAAAACACAAAGGTGAAATGAACTGAAACTACAAATATAACAGAAAGACCCTCCTCCTAACAAGCAGTTTCATCTCATCCTTTACAACGTTTAAATACATAAATATATTTTGGTCTTTTTACGTGTAGGAAATTATAAATGTTGTATACAGACCATAATTCCTTTGTAGAGATGTGATCTCCAGGGCCGTGAGGAAGACTGCTGGTGTGCTTGGCCGAAGCATCTCGCCGAGTTCCTGCCGTTGCTGATGAGGTTGGCAACGATGAAAAAGACGACAATGACAGCACCTCTCCATCCATGACTGAAGACATTTTTAAAATCCTTGAGCAAGCTGGAGCCCTTATTACAACAACTCTCTCCTCAACATGTGCTGGGAAAGCATAAACAACGTTGTCAGTGATGATATAAAGCAAAAGAGGAAGCAGCCTAGACCATGAGCCTCATGACACAAAGAAGAGGAAGTTACATGGACGCGCTCGCTGTTTCAGCTTTATGTGAAGGAGGGCCTGTCCCTCCGCGGGTACTTATTCAAGTGTTGTACCTCTTGCTCACTCTGTTACCAGACTGTGGTGGAAATGTTTATACAGCTAACTGTACATCATTTGGGGAGTGTGGGAAAGTCCACTCTGTGTTTTTTTTTTATATTTGTCTAAGCTTAGCTCTTGTGTTCTGTTTCCTAATGGGCAATTTAAAACAGCACACATTTAAATCAGCACAGATTTGTTCCAGTGCTGAATTATTATTCTTATGTTCTAGAAGAGACTATAATCCAGGACATACCACAGATATTAATACAAATAATGACTTTATTCCATACATTTATTTATGTCACATAATGATAGGGTCAGGATAATTGCATTCATTAGTCTATTCATTACTGCCAGCCAGAGAGGAAATAAAACCAAAGCAGGTTAATTACTAAACTTTCCACAGGAAAAACAAATGATTTAAAAGATTTAGTTAATCATGATCCTCTTAGCCGAACTAAGCAGTCATTTACACATTCAAAGAAAATCTGAATTCCAGTTTTGCTTAGGGGAAACTCTTACCTTCTGACTCTTCTAACTTAAATCTAAAAGAGATTTAAGACCCCTTAGGCTAAGACATGTTAAAGTCTTTACAAGGTACAGTCAATGGGGTGGTGACTTACATTCAAATATTCTGCTATGCTTTAAGGTATAAGAAGACCTCTCTCAAACCCTTGCTGGATAGGCTACAGAAAATAGATTTTACACAGTGGAATCTGAATAGCCCAGATTTTTTTGTTTTGTTTTTTCTCAATCATTTAGATTTATTTACCTGATGAACACACATTGGACAGTTTACCAGGAAAAATAGATTCTATCAATGGAAAAGGACTTAGTTGACTAAGTTGTTTAAACAATTATTTCTATAATCCTCACTTTTGAGAGAAAACCCAGCCAATCCCTATACAGATTGGTTGCAAAATTATATGCCTATATTCAATTCAATAAATATAAATATTATAGCATAATAAATTCAATTCATTTTAGTTTATTTCTATTGCACCAATTCACAAAACGTCAACTCAAGGCACTTTAGACTTCACCAGATCTTACAGTCAAATGATTCAAAGTTTTTATCTGAGGAAAATCAGTAAATTTCATTGACTTCATTGACTCATTCTAATTTATGAATGCAGAATAAAGCAAATAAATTGTACCATTATTTTCCCCCAAGGAAAGCAATATGTTAAAGCATCTGTTATGTATTTACAAGTCTTGCCTTGTATCTTGCTATAAATAGAAAATAATCACTTTTAATGCCAAAATATGACAAACTAAGTGTATTATGTGTATATTATCACATATCTGTAGTATGCATATAAGATAAGCATTAACATATTTTATATTTTAGGGCAGGCTGTTACTTTAACCATGACGTCATCATATTGTTTGGTTAGTTTTTCCTATATTTACTGAATGCCTTTCATTTAATGATATAATTGCATTATTTAATACGTGCCCAAAATGTTCAAATAAGAAATAAATTAATCAATCAGAAAGTAGTTTGACCTTAAGGCATATGTCATATGAACCTTCTTCAGTGCAAGTTTAATATCTTTGTGGCAAAGTATCATGAAAATCGTAGGCTAACTGGTTGATCAATGCTACTCAACTCTTAATTACATGGTCGGTGTAAATATATCCTTACTACATATGGCATATCATAGTTGCGACACTATTTTGCAACATTTCAAAATGTCTGTCTGCCTAGCTATGCAGGAGATCACAATGTATATACAACCTGCATCTTCCTATGCCAGAGAACAAAATATTCTCATTTCCACAATATTATGATGGAGGTATAGGGTTAGGAATTACTTTAGCTAAAAAAATCTAGGTGAAAAAAACAAACAAAAAAAGTGTTCCTCACTAATAAATACTTTTTCACAATTCATCCACTTTTAGGTGAGGAATATTGTTGTTTTCAGAATGTCATTGCACCTTTCCAGGGAAGTTAGTTTATGTTACATAATGATTTTCAGAAACAAAATATTGTTCGAATAGCTTTTATAAAACAAAGTGGAGAAAAAATAATTCATATAATTTAAAACAGGGATTAAAATGAAGGGCTGAATAAAAATTAAAGTCATATCTTCAAAGATTGAAGAGCAGGCAACAAAAATATTTCAGTGCTGTCCAGTGTAGCTCTGTGTTGCTCCAGCGATTCCATTCACATGTCTGTGTCATCTATCATGCACACCCGTTGCAGAATTGCTTTGCCAAGCACAGGCTCTGGAGGGAGGGAGTAGCAATGCACTGCCTTTATTGACCCAAGCCTCTGTCAAAGCCAAGAACAAATGGGCCGCTACTCAATGAAGGGATTGATTTTTGGTCTAACAAGAGATCGTAGAGAAATCGAGAGTGTCCCATGGAGTGAGGACGACTGGGTTCTGGACAGTTTGCCTTCTTTACGATTTCTCCTATTTGTGTCTAAGTGAAATTCTTCATTAGCTGGAAGGGAAAGGGACTATGCTTTTAAATAGTCCGGGGTATAGCAGCAATCAGTGTCTCTCCAGGCGGACATAGCAATTTGCTTTACCTTTTCATTTCCAGGCAATGATACCTTGACAGAGTCATCTTGGGTCAATTGCACAGTCCTCTGCATTTAGCAGCTGCATCTCTTTCAGTATCAGATTAACAGAAGTCTGGTGTATTTTTTTTAATCAATGTGTCATATTTACATTCCATTTTCTATTTGAAACCAACAATTGAAATATGAGAAACTCTTGCTTCTTTTTGTTTCTTTTTCTATCTTAGAATAATATGGAATGACAGAGAACAACTCTTTCTTTAATTGATCATATCCCTACATTATATATATGAATAGCGAGCATTTTATTACAATTTTTAAACTTCTTCTGGGCCCTAAGGTAACAAAGTATTTATAAGGCTCTAGTGGCAAGTAGAAGAAGACAAGAGAATCACAATACCAACATCAGCTTAGAAAGCTTTTCAGACGTATATGTTTAGAAATTATAACAATCACTGTTATAGTAGCAACTGAAAAAAATAAGGATTCTATTAATATGTTTTAATACTGGCTTTCTTCAACTGTTTATAATCATGAACAATATTAAGAATCTTATTAAGTGCAATTTTACAAGAAAGACATATAAAATTACTTATGAATCTTAGAAAATTTTTCAAATGCTGAATATATATTTCAGTAGCAAGTTCCTGCTCTAGCCCATCTATGTCTTGTTCCAGTAGCCAATTTGTCATCAAGTTGCCCTGGTTCCCACAAATCACCTTGCCTAAGGGTGTACCTGGATGTCGACGCCGGGAATCGAACCCCAGTCACCTGTGCCGAGGTCATCGGTGTTACTGAAGCTTGAGAAATACCAAGGGCTGAAGGAGGAGCAAGAAAAGATGTGGAAAGTAAGAGCAGCAGTGGTGCCAGTGGTAATTGGAGCACTGGGGGCTGTGACCCCCAAACTGGGAGAGTGGCTACAGCAGATTCTAGGTAAAACATCCGAGGTCTCTGTCCAGAAGAGCGCAGTCCTAGGAACAGCTAAGATATTGCGCAGAACCCTCAAGAGCCCAGGCCCGAGGACCCGAGCTTGAGGATGACACATACCACCCCACGAGGGGTGAGAAAACAGTTTATATATAAAAACTAAAAAACTGTTTTCTCACCCCTCGTGGGGTGGTATGTGTCATCCTCAAGCTCGGGTCCTCTACCAGAGGCCTGCGAGTTTGAGGGTTCTGCGCAGTATCTTAGCTGTTCCTAGGACTGCGCTCTTCTGGACAGAGACCTCTGATGTTTTACCTGGAATCTGCTGTAGCCACTCTCCCAGTTTGGGGGTCACAGCCCCCAGTGCTCCAATTACCACTGGCACCACTGCTGCTCTTACTTTCCACATCTTTTTCTAGCTCCTCTTTCAGCCCTTGGGAGGAGCTAGAA